AAAATCGAATGGTTGATGATATATCATTGTTTGGGCGTAAAATCCAAAATAAAAATTCTCAAATGTAGTAATACACTTTTATCTTGTGGATTTTATATCCAATGGCTAAAAGTAATTGTGACTTCTTTGTAACAGATATAAATGGTCTCATACTGTATAATCTTATATTTCAATGGTATCTTGATTACTTTTTTATTTAAAATAATTTTTTATTTTACTATGTGCACCTTAATAGAATGCATATACAAATGAAATTTGTCAAATTTTTGAAATAGAAAATAAAATCAATTTATAGCCTTCAAACACGCCAAGATTAGTATGAACCATTTGAAGGGTGAACCCTTCAAGGTCCACATAGCCATAGTTTTCCATATAATATAGAATATTAAGTTTCTTTATTGACAAAGGTTGCTTGTTGAAAAAAGAAGAAGAGAAAAGGTCGCAATAATATTTATTTTAATAGGCATAAAGCGAAATTTACTCCAAAAAATTGAATGGTATTGGGTGTCATATATTTTTTTCTACAAAATTTAATAACCGATAGAGATTTATTGAAAACGAGATGATTTGGTATTGAGTGATTTGAGGGCACGAATCTATCAAAGGACGAAGTTTCTATATGGCCTTGGCTTTATGAAAGCAAAATAAAGCCTCACCTCAAATCCTCATCTGAAAAGCACTTTCGTCAACCGAAATCTCCATTATAGATCTAAAATAAATTTCGAACACGGACAATGAAATTTAGGACTCAAAAAATGGTACAGATCTTGCAAAACTGTGAACACTTATTTTTAGGTGTGAGATGGATTGTCTATATGATTTATTATAATATACACTACTTTTAGATTTTTGAAATTCTATTTTTTTTTCTACAACCATAATGTTCAGGTCAAGATGATCGATATAAAGGTTTTCCAATACTTAAATAGTAATTCTTAATGAGTTATGAGGTGAGAGTTTACTTATTTTGATAGAGTTGCAACCATGTCAAACCATTTTCTTTATCAAATTAGATATTCCACAAGATTTGCGGTGGCTTGATTTTTTTTAATGGGACACTTTGTTGGGTTCAAATTTTGTCATGTTTAAGACATAAAGAATCTAGTTGAAAAGGGAAGGTCACTCACCAAATCTACATGGTTGGGTATCAGATATATTTTTCAATGGGTGAATAATTACTTCAATGTGCTCTTCTTAATGTTACTTTTTCTTATTCTCCCACTTCTCTTGCCCTTCTTTTCATGTGAAAAAGACCAAAAAATGGTAGCATTTCTCCTCCTATATGGCTATATCTCAGCTACTAATGAAAATGGGGCATATAAATGTAATTGTGCCCCTTAACTAACTTAATTATTCAGGATTGTGTATTATAAGACAATTTATCATTGGTTTAATAATGTTATAATCACCTTATTGGTTAAATATTCATCTACCAATTAAGGGGTGTCACAAAGTTCGAGAATTTCACCCTAGATGACATACTTCATATTTAATAGCTAAGAGTGATTGTAGCATTATTTTGCAAAAAGTAAATGGTCTTATTGTAGTTTTTTATTTCTTTTGAGATTATTATAGTTGTTTTTAAAGCACCAATAAAAGTTTGTTTCCTAAATTGCAATTTAAACCAGTTACTTTCATATGATGTTCCTATTGTGTAAAATCCTAGATAGACAAGTCAAACACTGTGAAAACCAAGAGAAAACAGTAACAAACTACAGCTACACATAGTAAACAAACCGATAATAAATAGGACAAAATATTAGAACTTACATAACTCATTGCTAATGTGACTACATTCATAAGAGAAAGATGATACAATGGTTTCACTATTAAAGCTCCAGAGGTACAAGATGACTCTCTCTCTCTCTTTCTCTCTGTGCGCAAAAATATGCAAAGATCTTATATAATGTCTCAAACCCTCAATCACAACTAGTATTTCAACAAATCATATGAATTATTTGATACATTTCTTGGGGTCTTATATCATGTCATGCTGTAGACATGAAGAATCAAAATTGAATGAGAAAGATCACTTGCCAAATCTACAACATGAGGTTTTCATATTTTGTCAATGAGCAAATAGTTATTTTCTTAATGAGGCCAACAATAGCATGTGACACATAGTTTAAGAAAACATTTGCCTTGTGTGATATTATATAATCCGACATCCAAAAATTTTAGGGGATTGTCTACAAAGAGAGCATTTATATTTTGTACATGAAGGTTATAATCATTATCACTCATTAGATGTCAAAGTTGATGGTTTGGGGTCAGTCACAAAGTCCAAGAATTTTTTTATTTAGACCTTTGTGTATATTCAATGATACTCTTACAACCACCCATTTTTTAAATTTAAGGGACAATAATGATTGTAACCTGCCTGTACAAAAGATAATTTATATCTTGGTAGACAATCCCAAATCTAAGTATTTGATGAATTTTCAACCACAAAAAAAAAATTTAAATAAATGAAAAAATGGAAATATTATCAATAAAATGGTCAAGCTACCTCGAAAAGATCAATGAAGTGGTTAAGTCTAATAATTTACTAATATAGTGGTAACCTTCCAAAATCATCTTAACTCGGGTATTTCTTTAATTTAATTTGTTAAAAAATCCTAAACTGCCCGTGTTTTAGGTTTGGACATCTAAACAAGTTGTTTGAGCTAAATGACCTAAATACACCTACTTATTCCAAATTTTAAATTTTAAATATGGTTTCTAATTATTATTTTTTTCCAATTTTAGGACTTGAAACAAAATACCTCACATGTTTGACTTGAAATCAGATTTTTGGTAAAAAGTATGCTATAAGTTTAGAACCTAAAACAATATGGGGCATTTAGGTTTTTTAACTCAAGTGATGTACATGGGTCATAAAAAGGCCCTTACCTGTTCAAAGTTACCAACCTTAAACAAGGGAAATTTGCATTAGTTTAACCAAATTATTGGGGAAATACCTAAATAAAAGAATTATGAAGAAGCAACCACTTATTGGAAAATTTATCTAACTGCCTCATTGATTTTTCCAAGTGATTTAACCATTTTCTATGTAAATTATACTAAAAAAAGATTAATTGTCTTAATGTTGTCAAAAAGGTATGCACGGTTGTTGCAGGATGATCTTTGAATGTTAACTTCTTGTGGCAACATAAAGTCTTCTTCTATTCTTTTTGCTTTGGCTTCTCTGTTTTGGTTGTTTTACAATTGGGGATATTTTTGAAGATATATGCAGTTAATATATGTGGAAGTGGGCCATTTGTGACATTAATATTTATTAAAC